TTTAGTGTTTCTGTTTTAATATTTAGATCTTGGATCCATTTTGATTTTAGTTTATTGCATAGTAAGAGATATAGGTCTAGTTTCAATCTTTAGCAAGGTGAAACCCAGTTTTTCCAGCAGCATTTATTAAAGAGTCTATCCTTCCCTCAGTGTGAAGGCGATGATTTATACAAATAAATCTGAGTGATATCCATGATAGACAGAGAAGACACTGGCGATTAAGGATGCCAGTAAGTTCTTTCAAGGATCTGAACCAAAAAATTGGTACCCAAACTGCCGTAAAATTATATTTTGTTTTTCAATTTTTGTTTTTATTAGTACATGTGTGGTACACAGTGATTACATTCCTTGTGGGGAGTTGGTACATGTACGTAACACATCTTGATTCTTTTTTCCCTTCCCCTCCCTACTTCCTCTCCATTTCTTGCTCCCTTTCTCCTTTGCAAAAGATCTATCTCCCTTTTTCCTATTATCTGTCTTTATTTTGCTCTTTATTTATATTTTGTGTTTCTTATAAGAAGAAACCACTCACTATTTTAGGTTGTGTGTTATTTCACTTAACATTATGGTCTCAAGGTGCATCCATTTTCCTACAAATGACTCATTTATCCTTCTTTTGGCAGAGTAGTACTCCATTGTGTATAAATACCACATTGTCTATTCTGTCATCTGTTGATGGATATATACGCTGCTTCCAAGATTTAGCAATTATGAATTGTGCTGCCATAAACACGGGTATGCATGGATCACTCTAATATGATGTCTTTAACTCTTTAAGCAGCCTCAGACTTTTGGTGCGGTACGTGTGAAGTAGATTGGAGCCCCCCTAAGCCAGGTGTCCTTTAGCTAGCCATCTCTGCCTTGTCAGGAGCATTTTCTGCTCATTCTGTACATACCTGTGGATCTTCTTTGCAGCTGCTGGGCTGGGTTTCAGAAAAATATTGGTAAAGAAGAGATAGGCCTTTCCCTCAAAAACCTCAAACGTTTAACAGGGGGAAAATCTGACACTCAGGGATAATCATGTTACAGTGTGATAAGTGCTATGGCAGAGAAAGGCCAAAGTACAATGAGAGTTAAAGGAAGGAGTAACAGGCTGATAACGTCTGGTGGAGGTGGTGGTAGAGCTTCAAGGTGAAGTTAAGTCAGGTTTGGACTGGTCTGTGGAGGGTGCTTGGCAGACGTATAGTGGAGGAGCATGCGCAAAGAAGAGGGTGTGAAACAATGCACAGCGGAGTCTGTTTCCCTTTCACAGACAGGAACTGCAGGAGTCTCCATTTAGATACAAACTGAGTTCAACAGGCTGGTGTGAAACAAGCTCATCTTCCCAAGGCAGTAGGACAATAAAATAAAATAAAATAAAAATCCCAGGATGAGACAGTTTTAATAATCAGTGGTTAATTTATTTTTATGGTACTCTGTCATACCTCTGAGCAAGGTTAAAACTTACTCCCAAACCAGGTGTGGTGGCACAGGTCTGCGATCCTCTCTTGAGAGGGTGAGGCAGGAGGATCACAAGTTTGAGCCCAGCCTGGGCAACTTAATGAGATCTTGTCAAATAAATAAAATAATAAAACAATGGCCTTAGAATGTAGCTGGTGACAAAGGCCCTGGATTCAATCCCCAGTGTTTAAAAAAAAGGAAAAAACAAGTAAGCTATATTCATCTCCAAAACAGTAAATAGCGAGTGCCTGTTATCCCAGCATTTGGGAGGCAGAGGCGGCCCAAGCTGCACAGTGAGTTCAAGGCCAGCCTGAACTATCTAGTGAGACCCTGTCTCAAAAACCAAACGAAAGAATCAAGTGAGTAAATAGTTCATTACCTGTTTGCTCCTCCCAAGTCCCATTTTTTTTTTTTTATGTTAGACCACTTTCAGTACTTGGAATGTGTGTGAGTGTGTGTGTGTGTGTGTGTGTGTGTGTGTGTGTGTGTTCAAATAGCATATGGTAATTTTAATGTTTTAAACATTCATATGGTCTTTTTATTTATAGTTTTACTATATATTTTTATTATTTATAGTTTTACTTATCTTCCACATTGTTTTATTTCCCTCAAATTGGGTTTGAAAGTTCATCTCTATAAATTAGGGTCACTGATTTTAGCTGTTGTGAGGTGTTCCATCACCCAAACATATCCCAATTTGTTTATTTTTATTTGCACTAAAAGATGCTTATGCTGTTTTCTGCGTTTCATTATTGGAAACACCATATTGCAGGGAAAAATCCTCCGACATATGGCTTTGTGCTAATGTATGAGATTTTCTCATTGGAAGTATATCTGGATTTTTTAATTTAAACCACAGCCCACTGTAAGGAGTACATTTTATATTAAGACTCCTTTCATTATAAAACCTTAATAAAATAACATCTGCCTTTAGTATATGTACTCTATTTCCTACTCTATTGCATTCTGTTCTATTTTCATTTTTGTAAACTACTGGACATGTCCCACTGAAATGATTTCATGACTCCATAATGGGTTATTTATTTGTTTATTTGTTTGTTTATTTATTTTGGTACTGGGGATTGAACTCCAGTCCTTACACTTGCAAGGCAGACAGTGGAACCAAATCCCCGGCCCAGTAATGGGTTTTAAAACAGTGCTATAAAGCATACACATGGAAGTAGACATTGTGGATCAGAAGATAAGTGCATTTTGAACCACAGCGGCTTTTGTCAAGTCGCTCTTCTAAGTGGTTGTGTTAATTTTATAGTGCATAAGAGTTCTAATTTGTTTCATTTGTACCAGCCTTACTGTCCAGTATTAAAATGGTTAGACTTTTAGGTTATCACTAGTCTAACAGATATGAAATGCATCTCCTCAGTTTAGTATGCATTTTCCTGATTACTAGAGCAGAGAATGAATTTTTAATGTACAATATTGGTCACTTGGATATCTTCTGAGAATCACCCACACCATTTCTCCATTGTTCTATTGGGCTGTTTATCTTCTTATTATCAATCTTTTCTTCATATGCATATGTTACAGTTATCTTTTATCTCCCTGTTGCTTATTCAAGGGGTGATTGAAAACTATGATAAATGTATAAATTTTAAAAATTTACTACAGTAAAAGGCACGTTGCTAAGAATGATGGGATAAGTGTGTTTGGAGAAAGGGAGAATATTTTGAGAAGGATTAATGGAGTGAGTCCTTTATTTGTAATAAAATTAATTTCTTAAATATTCACTGTGTCTTTTGATCATCCAGTTGGTGGAATGTCAAATAAAAACACTGTAGTGTGTCCTCATCCTCCTTATTCACAGACTCTGTCACCATGCACCTTCTGGCTTCTCCGCAAAGTCAAAATAACTGTGAAAGGTAAACATTTTGAATCAATTCAAGACATGAAGGCAGCCACAAAAGCACAGCTAAAGACAGTTATGATAGAAAGTGTCAAAGATGAGGGGATAATTTGTTCAAAGTAAGAGGTAGTATTTTGAGGGGGATAAATGGCAATGCGTCTGTTATTATAATAAAAATTTTTGAGGGATTTCTTTCAGGCAGGATTTTGCTGTGTAGTTCTGGCCTTGAACTCACTGTGTAGTTCAGACTGGTCCAGACTGACAGCAATCCTCCACTTTAGCCTTCTCAGTGGTAGAATTACAGGTGTGAACTAGCACTAATAAAAATTTTTAAAAATGTAAACATTCATCGTATTTTGTGAACACTTGTATTTTAAGCTTAAGGTAACTTTTAGGTAGAAATTTTTGATATTCGTTATAGCCAATTTTCAAATTTTATTTTAGGTTTTTGTAGTACCGAGGATTGAACCTACAGCCTAGAATATACTAGGCAAGCAATTTACCACTGAGCTAATCCACCAGCCACTTTTATCTTCCCGTACTCCTTGAAACTCAGGCCTTGTACTGAGCTGCATCCCCAGCCCTCTTTATTTTTTATTTTAAGACAAGTTCTCACTAAATTGCTAAATTGCCTAGGTTGGGCTCAAACTTGTGATCTTCCAGACTCAGCCTCCTTAGTGCTGGGATTACAGGCCTGTGCCACCACGCCCATTCTCTAGGGATGAACATGGAGTATCTCAAAAGGCCTGAAAGGCAGGATACATAGTCCTGCATTTAAAGCCCCTTCATACCTGCTTTCTTATTCTACCACTCTTCCTTAATCTCGAGCTCTGTGCACATTTTCTGTTTTGCACTAGAAGATTATGGAATTGAAGCACGGAGTTACATAGAAGTTGGTGAATCCTCAGTTTAGGACCTAAGTCCTCTGACCACCAAACTGAAAAGTTTTGGGTAAGTTCCTGACAACACTTTGTGAGAAAAGCTTGTAAGAGTGAAGGTTAGCAGGTCCGGGGGCATATTCCAAATTGTAAAAAATAGCCTCTGAGTTTGGTAATTGCAGTCATAATCTTCATCAAAAAGGCATTATCAGCGTCTGTTTGTAGTGGGCAATTAAGGTAGGCGCTGAGATACCTGAAGAACATACTGTTGATGTCAGTATTTATACTCTCTGAAAATTAATACAGATATGAAAAGGGTACGACCTACAATAAAAAAGGGAGAGCCATCCAGATCTATCGTAGACAGTGAAGAATGAACGTCAAGCGCTTCAGAAGTCAGTGCAATTCGAGGTGAAGGGCATCGCTGCGTGAAGAGTAGTGCCCAGTAGGGATCAGCGGTAGGGGTTCCAAGTTCAGGGAAACTGTCGCCCATCGATTAAGGAGGGTGAGTCTCCTGCCTTCTGACTCCTCCCTCTGCCTCCCACCCTCTACAAAGGTTCCCCGCCCCACGTTTCTCCTCCTCCAGGAAACGTAACCTTCGCTAAGGTTGAGATCAGAGTATTTTTTACTTTGAGTCCTTGGCTCCAAATAAGGAGACCTTTACCCAGGATCAGCAGGAACCACCCTTGGGAGCCACTCAGTGTGGCCAGGCACGTCCACAGCAATTAGAGTGAAAGGACAGTTAAGGAAAGCCTTTGAAGGAAGGTCTCCTCAGCCAGCTTTGGCAAGGTCAGCCGGGAGCCCTGCCTTCCAGGTTCACCATGGGAGCTTCACGCAGTGTTCTGCTCCAGCTGTATACAGAGCTGCTCCTGCATTTGGCTCCTAGAGGAGCAAGGAAGGCCCTGCTTGGAAGTATGCTGGATCTGGGGACCTTTGCACATTAGGCAAGATCCATAAGCACCTGAATCAATATCAGAACGATTTCAAGGGTGTTTTTTTTCAGTACTGGAGATTGAATCCAAGGCCTGCTGATCTACACCACCAACCTAGAAAGACCTCAAGGAGTTTGCCCTTTGATACTGTGAATAAAATTATTGTTTCGATGTAGAAAAATAAAGGGTAATGTGTTCCAGTCAAATTCAAATATATATGCTAGGGCCAGGGATTTAGCTCAGTGGTTTCGCTGCCTGCCTTGCAAGCACAAGGTCCTGAGTTCGATCCCTGGTACCGAAAAAAAAAAACCCAAACAAACAAATATATATGCTAATACAGCACATGTGTTGCTCCAGAGTTTTTGGACTTGCTGCCCCCTCTAGCTACAAATCCTTTCCAAAATAGTAACCTGACTTTCCTTTTTTTATTTGTTTGATTTTGTTTTTGTTTGTTTGTTTGAGACAGGGTCTTACTGTGTAGTTCAATCTGGTCTTGAATTTACCCTGTAGCCCAATTTACCATGGTGCTCATCCTGTCTCAGCCTCTAGAGAGCTGCACTACCATGCCTGGCTATATAACTTGCTTTCTTACTTCTGTAAGATTTATGCTTCTAAATCACTGCGTGAAGTTTTCTTAACCAACCCTTTTAAAATGCTTTTTATCTCCACTTCTATTTCTTGAAATTATTTATTCTGCTTTTAAATTTTCTTTTTAAAATAGAAGCTACTACTCCCATATATTGAGTTTTGTTGTGTTTTGTTTTGCTTTTTGTTTTTTGGGACAGGGTCTCACTATGTAGTTGAGACTGACCTGGAACTCACTATGTAGCCCAGGCTGGTCTTGAATTCACAACAATCCTCCTGCCTCAGCCTCCCGAGTGCTGGGATTACAGGATTACACGCCCAGCTCTATTTATGAGTTTTTAATGTTCTGTCTCCATCACAGAATGTAAGTTCTCTGAGAGCAGGAACATTGTGGGTTTTGATCATTACTATATCCAAGTGCGTAGCCCAGTGCCTGGCACTATTGTGTATTTGCTAAAGGTATAAAAAAAGTATCTATTATTTGATGTAAGGGAGCCTGAGAAGTCTGTGAGGATTTGTAGGCTTGAAGTCTCAGATGTTGAGAACATAGGAAATATATAAGAGCCTGCTGGTTTGGGTAGCAAGAAAGATAGTCTGTGATATGCCAGTATTGACTTCTAGTTGGACATCAGGGAGAAAATACTAAAAAGTAATCACAACAGGTAGTTAAAGCTCAGAGAAAGTAGCTATAGAGTGACATTTTGGAGTCATTGTCAAGAAGGTAACACAAAGCCATGGTTGGGAAGGGAGGCTGCCAGACTTAGAGGCCTCCCTGTAGATGTGACAGTGAACAGGACCAAGACTTCATCTTCCGTGAGGGACACAGACAACTAATGGGCAAAAGCAATTCAGTGGGTCAACACTTGGGAAGGGCAGGGTTCAATACAGATTTGTGGGGCAATATGAAGAGCCAAACTCACCCTGAAAGAGGGTCATGGGAGGCTCTTTGCTAGAAGGAACATCTAAAGTGAGCCTACAGAGTGAGTAGAATTTAGCCAGGTGAAGAATAGGCAGAGCAAGCATGTTACAGCACAGGTACAACATGTAAAACAGAGGAGGCAATCGAAGACATTGGTGCATTTAGGTACTAAAAAGTTCTCTGTGAGGTGTGTGAGGCTTACTTCAGAGGTAGAAATGAAACACAAAGATTTACCGGCTTTCCCACAGTTCCTCAGCTGGCTGGACTTGTACTTCAAGTCAAGGTTTACGTGGAGAGGTTGCTCTTTCCACTATTCCATCTTGTCCCATGAATGTCTCTAATCTCAGATGTGTCTCCAGTATTACTGGGCTGAAGTTGCAGAGAAATTGTGAAAAATTAGAAGAGGACTAAGGGCTGAACCTCAAGAATGCCTACATTTAAGAAAGAGGAGAAAGAAGTTAACGAGGGGCTGGGGATTTAGCTCAGTGGTTCCTCCGCCTTCATCCCAAGCACAAGGACCCGAGTTCAATTCCCAATACCAAAAAAAAAAAAAAAAAAAAAAAAAAAAAAAAAGGAGTTGAGGAGAAGTAGCAATTAAAGGACTACAGAAAAAACAATTCAAAGAGGCGAACTGCCCAGAGAGCATAATATAATAGAAGTCAAATGTAAGAGGAGTAATTCAACATTTCAGATATGGAGATGAAGAGAGAGTTGGTTCTCAATATAGATGGTCAATGATGATCTCAAGATAGCCGATGAGACAGGAATTTCCAGAAGAGACCACAAGGGGTAGAGAAATCAAGGAAGGTGAGGAAGTGGAGTAAGCACAGATTACTCTTCAGCAACTTTGATTTCAAGTTACTGAAAGAAGTAACAAGAGAGGCCACCTCTGAGACAGCAGAAGGACATTTATTAGGAAGTGATCTTGGGATCAGTACTGAGGGAAGTGAAGAAAGCAAAACTGGGCAGGAGAAGTAGACCTGTGATATGGTGAAGGTTTCATTGTGATAGCCAATCTGATCCCGTTTGTGTAAATTTGAGTGATTCCGGAGTGGTCGCCTCCCCCTTGGGAGAGAACCCTCGGGAGTCCCTTTAGTTAATGCATGACAGACTGCCCCATCCTGTTTGGTAGAGCAGTCTGCAACTATATGTTATCTGTGTGACCTTCCCATTTGATACAGCAGTAGCAACTACGTTATCTTTACAACCATGTAAACAGAATACTCCACATCTGTGTGATATTTTGTTTCAACTAAACTGTATGAAAGTTCCCCTGACCCCCACTAATTTAGCAAAGTTCTGCTCCTGTGAAATTCCACTTGTGCTCCCCCTGTCCCTGAGCCCTCCCCAACTAGAAGAGCCCCTTAAAAGAATCCCACAAGCTGCTTTTCATCATCAAGAGTTTTTTGGGCATGAGCTGCTCTGGACTGCTGAGCAAAAAAGAACTCAAATTCGGCTCAGAGTGTGGTGATTCTCTATAATCTCTAGCAACTGAGTATAACATATCCAGCCTTCAAATATATCTTCAGTTGGGGAGGCAGGGGTGAGTGTTTACATACCTGCATGGATCAGGCACTGGATAGGGGCTCCTTGGGAAGGGTGTGTGACCCCCATATCCTAGGCTCACCTGCAGCAGCATTTCTATTCCAAACAGCTGGGGTAATAAGTCCTTCATTCTTTTCTTTTTTTTTGAGTCCTTCATTCTTAAAGGGGATCTTGGGCCCTGCATTCCAGGGTTTATCAAAGGAATAACTTAAGAAGCTAACAGATTTAAGATAGGGATATTTTTAGCATAGATAATGCAGAATTTTGGAAATAAGTACATAAATAGACAAACAATGCCCTGTATATACCTGACTTTTGCTAGCAACAGAGGTGAAGATAACGCCCTCTATTGAAAAGCTCACAATTTAATGTAGGAAGAAAGCACAAGAACAGTAATTGCTATAAGGGTCTGTTCTTATTTTATTTGTGTTTGTACCGGTGCCACCCACCCTGAGCTGGGTACATAGTAGTTCTCAGTAAATAATACAGAATGAATTAAAGTACTTGAATATGGTAAGAAATATTTGGGTAGCACACAAAATACAGTACAGGTGTAAGGAATTGTGCCAGGGACAGTAAGACAAAGATCACAGTGGTAGGTGGTATAAAAGGTATGTGAGAGGCCACTCAGACACAAACTTTGTGTGAGAAAAAGCTTTATTCCTGTTTAGGCGTGAACAGGGACTGAAAGCCAAGGCAGATTTCAGCAGCAAGCTGGGAAGAGCTGAATTTATTTCATTCACGTGTGGAAGAGCTAACACACACGGTGTGGGGGGGTTAGTGAGAGAGAAAGATCAGCTAGCTGGGAGACAAATTAACTTTATATAGGGCTTGAAAAGAGGGCTGCAGTCTGGAATGGAATGTGTATGATTGAGAGTCCAAGGGTGGTCAGCACAGGCAGATAATACTGCACTCTTCGGAGCTGGGGAGGTTGTGTACTCCATCCTAAATTTTCTTTATGGCCATCTGTCCTATTTATTGAGAGTAGCCTGTTGTTTGCAGAAAAATGGAATGTTTGCTGTGGAGGTCTCATTCAGGCCAGGCATGACAGGGGGTATTTTAAAAGGACCTTAAAGAAAAGGGAGTTATCCAGGTGAAGAAGGGAAAAGGCCATAGGAAGTCATTTTAGGCAGTTGTTTTAGATCAAACAAAAACACGAGAAAAATTTAGAGAGTGGGTGGAAAGAAAGCATGGAATGCAGAACCTCTTTGTAAATAAAAAACATACAGACTGGGGGTTATAGTCAGTGGTAGAGTGCTTGCTTAAATTAACATGCATGAGGCCTGTGTTCAGTCTCCAGTACTATGACAGACACCTTTGTCCAGTAATAGCAGGCTATAGTGGCACAAGCTTCTTGCCCCTCCATGATTTAGCTGTGTTACGTTGGAAGTAGCAGAGTCTGAGTTGACTCCTAGTCAAGGTCAACTGACTCCAACTAAATTCTTCCCCTCTGAATTAACTGTTTGCTCTCTTCAGCAAAGACATGCTTGTGCCCTCCCTCATTCTGCAGTCCTGCCAGTCTGATACTTGTTATCAGCAGGTGTCCCAAGGCCTGCCCAGCTTCCCTCCTTCCCATACTTGTAATGAATAAACACTGAATGTCCTGGTATCCTTTGTCTTTGCTGCCCAGAGCAGCTTAGATCGGCCCAAGACTCAATTTCTCTCAAGTCTGTCTCTGTGTTTCTTTTAATTCCCACTTTCCTATCTCTGGCTTGCAAGAGGCCAGGACCACTGCAGGGGTCTTTGGAATTTCCATTTCCCTATAAAGTACTAATAAAAACAAAAAGACAAAAAACAAAACCCAGGTGTAGTAGCACATGCCTATAATCCCAACACTCTGGGAGGCTGAGGTAGGAAGATCATAAAATGAAGTCCAGCCTGGGCAATTCAGTGACTTAGCAAGACCTTGTCTCAAATTTTTCTTTCATTTCTTTTTGTTTATTTGGTACCAGGGATTGAACTCAGGACCATTGCACTTACAAGGCAGGCAGCAGAACCAGTGGGCTAAATACCTGGCCCTTTCATTTCCTTTTTGAGACAGGGTTTATAGATTCCAGGCCAGCCTTGACATCACTATGTAGCTAGGTTGGCCTTGAACTTGCGGCAGTTTTCCTGTCTCAGCCCCTGGAGTGCTGGGATTACAAGTGTGCACCACCAATATCTCAAATTCAGTACTAGGTTCAATCCCCAATACTAGAAAACAACTAAATAAATCCCCAGTACTGAAAAACGACTAATTAAATAAATAACTAAATAAATAAATGACACGTGATAAGTAAACATTAACATGACATCCATACATATTAACATCTGCACAGAAATGAGGTGCTATTACTGTTATGCTGAATGATTAGTGAATTTACACTAGCAGGATTTTATGAAAGAGAGAATCTTTGAGCTAGAGAGGAGGGAATTATTCTGAGTGTAGAAGATAGAGATGGTATTGTGTGGTAGTCGTGTACCGGCTCAGCTGGATCTAACAGATCTGTGTCTGCGGTGTGGCTTTGCTGGCCAAATAGCTTTGTGTCCTTAGGCAAATCACTTAACCCTTTAAGCCTCTGATTCCTATTTTGCAAAATGAAGATAGTAACAGTTCCTGTCTAGTGAGCTGATTGTGAGGGTTTAATGCATGTTTGTGAAGTGTTAAATAAAATGTTTACACGAAATAAGAATTCAGTTAATATTGTCAGTTACTAGAAATGAGGATTTGGGGCTACCTAGGGTAAGAGTAGAGTGTTATGTTGTGAGAAACAGCTGACTAAAGGAAACAATGGAGTTTGGTAGAGTTTCATTTTAAAATCCATTCCTATTTTTATTTTATTTGCAGCACTAGGATCAAACCAGAGCCTCACACATGCAAAGCAGGGTCTCTACCACTAAGCTACATCCTCAGTCTCATTCTTTTAAAATTTATTAAGCCTTTTCCCTATAAGACTTTATTTAATTCATGGATGATTTCACTACTTCTGTTCTCCCCTAAAGGGAAACCAATGTCCCAGTACCAGTCTGCAGAGGCAACTCTGCCTTAGGAACTTGTCTGATATAGGAAAAAGACAGGAGTCAAGGCTGGAGATTTAGCCCCAGTGGTTCCACCCTTGAAGCAAGCACAAGGTCCTAAATTCAATCCTCAGTATATAAAAACAACAACAAACAAATAAACAAACAAAAAAACAGGAGACAGGTGATGTTATAATGATATGACTTTGAGTGCTTGAGTGAACTCCCAGGAAAAGAGATTGTCATCTGGGATCCTGGATTTAACACTCACAGTCCCTTCTACTATTATGATGGTCGTTCTGAACTGGAACCACAGCCACATACGCAGAAGGGTGCTTTCACTAATTTGAATTTATTATTTCTTTCCTTTCTTTTTCATTCTGAGATATTGTCTTCTTATGGTACTGAGGAGAGTTCTTTAAAACTATCAGAAAACTCTTGCTACCTATAAAGCATTCACTGTCTCCTCCTCTGTGTCCTACCCCATTCCAAGTGCTTCTCCTTTCTGGCTTGGCCTTGAAATTATTTCCCTTAGGTAAATTTTCCCTTCTTTCAGCTTCCCACCTCTCAGACTGAAAAATTCTTGGAGTGCCCTTGATTTCTTTTTTGTAATCGCAGGGTCTTTTCTGTTCTTTTTCTTGTCCATCAGGCATCCAGCTCTACGTTTACCCGGCTTTATTTTCTGCCCACAGATCACTAACTGACCAGGTTGATGCCAAGGGCTCCTTCAGATAACAAGGGACAGACGAGGTGGTATTTCTGCCTACACTTTGAGACTCCTCGTCATTGCATAAGCACTGCACGTACTATGTGGAAAATACAT